CTGAACTGATCTTGAAAGTGTTCCGTCCAACGAGCCATCCGGTGCTCCTTATTGTGTATCAGCGCACCCACGCTGTCTCTGATTGTCTCACTGACGCCTGGTTTTCTGGGACCAGTGGTGCGGATTAGCTGGAAGAGCTTGTGGTAATTGCCTACTGCTCCTGCCTCCTCCATTTCTTGAGCCCGACTAGTCCACCAGTCTTCCTTGTCAACACGTAGGCTCCGCTTTAGTTCACGCCTAATAGCCTGTCTGGTCACATTGTGTTCAGAACCAGCTGGGAGGTGTCTTCTATCTTCCAAGAGGTTCACGGACCTCTCGGATATCCAGGGACTGGTGCGGTGACGATGGATAGTGCCACAAGCAGATGCTCCTGCGTCGTGCATGGCGGCCGAAATCCTATTCCACTGAAGTTCGGTGTCATTAGGACAAGACAGCGAGAGTTCGGTATGCAGTGCTTCTTGATAGGCTTGCCTAACCGAGGGCTGGGACAATTTCTCCGTTGCTAATCGGAGGAGACGCTTTGTGCGCCTTCCGGTAAAGTTCATGGAGAAACGACAGCGCACCAAGGCATGATCAGAGTCGACACAGATACTCCAGTACGAGCGGCAATCCAGAATGGAACCGCGCCACCTGTAACTTATGGCTATGTGGTCAATTTGGGTCCATCGCTGGCCACACTTCGAAGTTGGCGTCGGTTGGTGCATCTCGACTGCCTGGCTGGGGTCCTAAGGACGGTGAACACGTTTGGTTGGACACACTTGCTGATATGGCTAGGAGCCGACCCCAATGGCGTTTGTGTTGTGAGTTCCTTTGTCCACCCCCCTCCTGTTTAGCATCCCCCTCCAATCACGATCTCAATCGTTAGGCATAATATGACTTTCTTTTACGGCAGCCAGCTGTTAGCTCTCCGGAACGATGTCCATCCGTTACTGGGGGCTCAGCGGGCGTGCCACTGTTTGTTTGTTTTTGTTTTTTGTTTTTTTCTTTTGTTGCCTTTTGTATTGCGGCACAATAGCTGAGGTAGAGCAAAAAGACCGGTACCGTATGCAGCCATGACAGCAGTTGATCAGGAGCTCGACCGACTGGAACGAGCCGGTGTCATCACACCAGTGAACTACTCTTCATGGGCTGCGCCGATTGTTGCTGTGAAAAAGCCGAACGGTAAAGTGCAAGTCTGCGCCGATTTTTCGACCGGCTTGAATGCCGCATTGGACGACCATCAATACCCCCTTCCGATACCAGAAGATATCTTTGCCAAGCTGAATGGTGGGAAGTGTTTCGCCAAGCTCGACTTGTCCGACGCCTACCTCCAGGTTGAGGTTGATGAAAGCTCAAGAGAATTGCTGACCATCAACACTCATCGTGGCTTGTACCAATACAACCGCCTCCCTTTTGGCGTGAAAACAGCACCAGCCATCTTCCAGCAGCTGATGGACACCATGCTCGCGGGAGTTTCTAGAGCCGCGGCGTACCTGGATGATATCATTTTAATGGGTCGGACAGCAGAAGAACTATTTCAGCGGCTCGCTGAAGTGCTTGTACGTATCCAGTCATATGGTTTCCGTATCCGCGAAGATAAGTGTACCTTTTTTACACCAACCATCAAGTTTATCGGTTTCATCTTCTCAAAAGACGGTCGTCGCCCTGATTCAGAAAATATCCGAGCTATTCAAAAGATGCCCCCACCTGTGGACTTGCAGTCGCTGCGTTCATTCTGTGGCCTAATCAGTCATTACAGCGCTTTTCTGCCCGAACTACATCGCCTGCGTGCCCCATTGAATAAGTTGTTGAGCAAGGGCCAAACCTGGAATTGGACGCCAGAATGCCAGACTGTGTTTGAGCGGGTCAAGTCATTGTTGGCTTCAGACTTACTCCTAACTCATTTTGATCCTTCCCGGGAAATTGTCCTTGCCACAGACGCATCGAGTCTAGGGATCGGTGCCGTGGTTTCCCATACGTTCCCAGATGGATCTCAGAAGGCGATCGCACATGCCGCCAGGACGCTAACGAAAGCTGAAAGAAACTACAGTCAGATCGAGAAGGAGGCATTGGCCATAGTGTTTGCTGTGAAGAAATTTCACAAGATGCTGTATGGTCGCCGCTTCAAACTCTTGACGGATCACAAGCCGCTGCTGGCCATTTTCGGCTCGAAGAAGGGAATTCCTGCCTATACAGCCAATCGACTCCAACGATGGGCACTTACATTGCTGGGCTATGATTTTGAAATCCGTTATCAGTCAACGAATTCGCTGGGCCAAGCAGATGCGTTGTCACGCCTCATTGATTCCCAGCAACAAGAACACGAGGACACCATCACTGCCTCAGTTGAGATCGAACCTGATGTTAAATTCCTGGTGAACGAGGCACTACATGGTATGCCAGTTACGGCCGATGCTGTGCGGGCCGAAACGCTTCGAGACCCAATCCTGAAGAAGGTGACACACTTCCACAGAACCAGCTGGCCACGTTCGTGTTCATCTGCCGAAATGCAGCAGTTCTATCAGCGAAGACATTCGCTTTCCATTGTGGACGATTGCATCATGTTCTCAGACAGAGTAGTCATCCCGCAGGCGTTGCAACAAAGGGTGCTGCGACAATTCCATGCAGGACATCCAGGGCTCAACCGAATGAAAGCGCTTGCCAGAAGTTATGTGTACTGGCCGTTTATGGACAGGCAGCTGGAGCAGCTAGCTAAAAGTTGTGGCAACTGCGCTACCGCCTCAAGGGCACCGCCAAAGACCGAACAAAGTACCAAATCCACATACCACTGCCTCCCAAGATTGACCCAAGTGTCACCATGATGCAAGTGGAAGACAAACCTGACGTCACGTATAGCGATGTTGGCGGCTGCAAAGAGCAAATTGAGCGTCTACGGGAAGTTGTGGAGCTACCACTATTGCATCCTGAACAATTCGTAAACCTTGGAATTGAACCTCCGAAGGGGATGCTTCTTTTCGGACCTCCGGGGACAGGCAAAACGCTCTGTGCTCGTGCCGTTGCTAATCGCACAGATGCTTGTTTCATACGTGTGATCGGGTCTGAGTTGGTCCAAAAATACGTTGGAGAAGGTGCGCGTATGGTACGAGAGTTGTTTGAGTTGGCTAGGAGCAAGAAAGCATGTATCATCTTTTTCGATGAAATCGACGCCGTCGGAGGTGCCCGCTGAGGTTTTCCACCTCCAGCTAACGTGTAATGATGATGATGATGATGATCGCTGGCCAGCTACAGAAGGACGCCAAGTGGCACTTTGGCGCCCACTGTGTCTAAAAGCAGTGCTACTAAGAAACAACTGGTGCTCCGCACACAGTTGCAGCAGACGCTCGCCGTTGTCAGTCCGTTCTGAGTTAAGTCCATAATTACCACCCAGCTGAGCTTCTGAAGAGCTCAGACGCCCTACTTGGGCGTTCATATCCCCTGCAAGTACTATAATATCTGAACTAGTAGCACTGCGTAGTAGGGCGTTCAGTTCGTGATAGAAAGTGTCCTTGACTGCATTAGAACTGCAGTCGGTGGGAGCATAAACGGAAATCACAAGCAAACAGCGTTTTGTTTTACTTCGCGAATTCACCTTAGCTGATTTCATCATACCGGCTGCACATAAACGGCTGTTCACCGGAATCCAATCAACCAACCATGACTCAGCCTTGGAGCTGAGAATGATACCTACACCAGCTTGACCCGTGAGTGCCGCATCGGCGTCTCCGGATGCGTGCAACCAATAACGAGAGGGTAAGCCGGGTGCAGTTAATTCAATAACCCCGTTAGGGTCATTAATCCTAGTTTCGGACACACAACACACATCAACACCCAGTGTGTCCAAGGTGCGTGCGAGTGCAGCCTGCTGACCTGTTTGTCTTAGAGTGCGGACGTTGAATGTCGCCATGGAAACGGGATAGCGTGGTCTTATAAGGGACTTTTGCCGATAGGCGTCCGATAGGTGCCGTGGGATGGTGGCTGCAGATGGTTCTACTCCAGTAGCACTTCGGTTGCTGTCAATTAAGCTGGGAATTATAGAAGGAAGGTTAGTAATGTGGGCCGGGATGGGAGTAAGAGCATAAGGTGGAAAAGAAAGAAGGAAGGCGCCAGCAGTAGCATTTTTTCGCTTATCCGCCCTGCTGTATGCAGCAGATAAGGCGACCCTTGATAATCTGCGCGACGGCCGATGCAGGATGAAGTTTATGTTTGAAGGAAATGTCATGGTTGTATGTGGGCTGAGATACTGCCAGGGCGCCCAGACCTAGACAGGAGAACGATTAGGGTCCTCATCCAAAGCCTTTGGCTCAAAAGCCTGTCCGCAAGGCAGCGGGGTGGCAGAGATTTAGTTTTACAGAAATGGACGCCATCCGATTTCGAACCCCGAACCTAGAGGAGCAGGAGACTGAGTTTGTCTGACCTCTCACCATTGACCAACCTGGTAGGAGTAGCTCTCAAGATGCTCGGAAGCATCACCCAGTATAGCTCAATGGGTCAATGAGGTACGCAAACCGTCGCACCACGTTAAGGTCCAGTCTCGTTGCGACGGGAGTTTCTTTGTCTAGCTCGTTCACACTTATCTTCCTCCTCCAACAGCGATCTCACACTTAACCTTATACCACTTTCTTTTTTAGTTTTTGTTTTCTGCATTTTTTATCTCGCTCTTCAGTATCTTTTGCATTGCGGCAGATTAGCTGTGTGCTTCTCACCTTCAGCTACTGTGTACTGATGCGTGATGATAATGTTCCATTTTCTCCCTTCTTCGAACTTTCTCACCATTCCGAGCTCCATAAAAGTCATCGGTACTGCGTCGGTACGTCGCACCAATGCTTCGCGGCCACGCAGATGCCACTAGTCGCTACGCGCCAAAGGACACTGCTCGAACAGGTGACCTGTCGATTGTTAAACAGGCCCATTATGCTGGTAGTCTCCCGAGCGGCGAGTTTCACGAACTCTATCCTGTTGTTACAGCGCGTTAAATCAACTACTTTTTCGCGAACTTTACATTTTTTACCGCTTTCTTTTTAGCATACTGAAACTGGCTGCAAATCGAACAAGGCGGCCGAATACGTTCTTGGTGGCTACGTCATCTGAGTACCATTTTCATGGGGGCACTGTTATCTACACCTAAGACAGAGAAATACAATGAAACCGGTCATGGCAACGGTCTCAGATATGGCGTTTCCAGCATGCAAGGGTGGCGTGTGACTATGGAGGATGCTCACTGTGCAATCACCCAACTGCCTGGCAATCTGAAGGATTGGTCGTTTTTTGCCGTGTTTGATGGTCATGCTGGAGCTTTGGTCTCGGCGATGTGTGCTACAGAGCTGCTAAAAGTAAGTCAGTACTTTAGAACTCTGTACCGAACTTTATGTTACCTTGCTGAACGAGCGCTGTTACCGGACCGGATCAACCATATTTGCTATCTTCCCTCACTGCGGCGCCGGAGTAATTGGTTTCAATCACTTATAGGCCTCTTTTCACCCGCTCTTTGATTCGGAGGATGTACCCCCTTATTTTAGACTACCCCTCTTCTATTCGCGGCGTTGCGGAGTACTCTGGCGCGTTGCCATAGGGTATACTGTTAAGTCCTATTTTTTCATGCACGCAAAATTCCTTCGAATCCGTCTGGTGTCCGGATGCTGCCCGCTCCTTTGATGCCCCTCCGCTACACTCTTCCTGTGCCATAACTTATTTGTTGTCGTGGTGTTCAACTGACCACTTGGTTCACTTTTCAATCATTTTAATTGGGATCACCCTACTTGAGCTTTATCATACTTGCATTCTCCGCAAAATGTCTCGATTCAACTGCTTAGTTGCAGTACAAAATCTCGGATCTGGTCTTCGATGCTAGTCCTACAAATTATTCTTATTTTGTCTAAGTTTACGTACTCATTCTTCAAATAACTTCAGGTGCACGTGCGTTTGCTTTTACCTCTCTCTGGATTCTGCGCTACCCTTTGGTGACCACAAACGATGAATGCTTGGATTTGAAGATTTCATAGTTCACTATCCTTCAATGCACTGACCATCTCGTGTCTTGTCATATACACAGCTTTTGGCTGTGCGGTTCTTAATTAGTCCTTTTCGTCTGCAGATAGTGAGTGGTTGTTGCCTATTTGACCATAATTTGGTTCCCACAACTATTTACCGCTTCAGCGAGTAGGTTCAGCTGCAGCTAAAATCCCATGACCAAACTATTAGGAGCTTACTTTAACTCTTAATGCCTGCTGTTAATCATATGCGATTTACAGCCATACCTCCTTGAGCCGAAGCGGCTACTTTTCACATTCACCACAAGTATCCTGCTGTGCTCTGGTTAACTCCTGCTTTGTTTGTGTGGTTTAAACACTTTCTTGAGTGCTTTCATAGTCTGCTTGGGGGGATACCTTTAGTTCTCTCTTTCCTATTGATCACATGCAGTAAGGACATCTTTCACTATATGATTTTATGGCAGCGACACATAAACACAAATGTTGATGTGCTGTCGTCTTTAGTTGAGAGTGAAACGCACCTCAATGTGCTGCAGAACACTATTCGATTGCCCAGGCTTAGACAAGAGAACGATTAGGGTTCTCAACCGAAGCCTTTGGTTTAAAAACCTGACCGCAAGGCAGCGCAGTTTTGGCACTGGAGTAAGGAACCACCCTCACTCCAACCCCCAACCTGGAGGGCCAGGAGATTGAGTTTATCTGGCCTTTAATCATTAACCAATCTGGCAAAGTGTAAAATGCACCACCCAACGTAGCTCAATGGATTATTTAAGCGCACGCACCATCGCACTAGGTTAAAGTCCAGTCTCCTCGCGATGGGTACTGTTATAATCTTCTCACTAGACGCGATTCCGAAATTGACACTTTACTGCTCCACAACAACTCTAGCCCAACCGAAGGAAATAGCAGAACGCCAACAATCTTGAAAAAATAACGTATTAATCACCACCAACAAACACTGTCAAACTATCGCGGACCTTGGTTGTATTTATGGGTCTCTTGCTGACCTTCGACTTCTAGAATTGGAAGATCAGCTACTAAGGTTAGTGGTTCCCCATATCTTTTGCCAAGGTGTCAGGTGGTTTTTAGTCACGTGCAGGAACTAGAACATTCAGGAACGTTTGAAATCGATGCGATAATCGTTAGTAGTCGATTACTGTCTACGATAGTGGATTTCCTAGGCAATTCTTACTTTCTCCCGGACACCCCTGCTGAGATATCGTCCGAGATATACGACAAAAGCCGAGGATTAACTTAGAGTTTTCAGGACGGTTTTCTTTGCCTGTCGGTCTATCTCCTTGGCAGAAGTGCGCTAGAACTATGTTCCGATGTCCATGTTCTGGATTCTTTGCTTGACTGTGTGCACTCATCCACTGCTACCTTCGGCAAGTTGAAGCTTTCCACCAATACATCGAACGGGAAGTCGGTAGGTCTTGCTTTTTCTGATTGGCACAATGTGGGCTGTAACCGGTTTGCATGCCGTGCCCAGATCTGTGCGCCCACCATCACGTCATACGGGACGTTTCCGCGCTTGCTTTTGTCTGTCCCTGACGTACATTTCGCATGGCCTTACCGATAGTCACGTACTAACACCTGTCCAAGCGTAAACGATCGCTTCTTTGCTCCATGCCGCCGGTTTAAATCCTGTTCCATCCTGCGGTATTTTCACTAACAAAGGATTCCGAGCGCGGTCGGATGGCGTCGAAAGGCATGCGGAGCTTCCGGTTCATCATAGCATTGCTGGAGAAACTCTGTCCGGCGCTTGTGTATTCGGTGTCTATGGGTAGAGAAAAAGGAACCGGTCAATCACCTCTATAGTCTCTTCCCTTTTGGTTTGTGGAGAGCTCGCTTGAATGTGTCGACAAATCTTTCTGCCTGGCCATTCGACTGTGAGTGAAACGGCGGCGAGCGAATGTGCTGGACGGCGCATTGCTTGCAAAACTCCGCAAACGTTGCCGAAGTGAATTGTGTGCCATTGACAGTTACAATTGTCTCAGGACAGCCGAATCTGCTAAAGGTTTGGCGCAGTTTTGATACAGAGCATTGGTGGTTATGCTATTCATGATAAATACTTCAAGCCACTTGCTGAATATGTCGACTATATTAAGGCAACTTCTGCCCTTGATCGGTTCTGCAAAGCCGACATGGATACGGCACCATGGCTTAGTAGCTTTTGGCCATGAATAAAGTTCTGATTTTTTGGCGCTTTCAAGACATTAGCGCACGTTTAGCAGTGTTTAGCTATTTCTTCTTGCTGTTTGTCCATGAAGGACCAGTATATATAACTGCGCGCAAGCGCCTTCATCCAGTTGATTCCAGGATGCCCGGCTTGGAACTGCCCAATAAGGCGCTCCTGAAGTGCCTTGGGGATGACCACTCTTTCCGAAAATAGTATGCAGTCGTTTACAAAAGAGAGCGAGTATCTCCTCTTGAAGTACTGTTGCAACTCGGCAGAGGGACATGAACGTGGCCAACTTGTTTTGTGGAACTGTGGAACCTTCTTGAGTATTGGGTCCCGAAGCGTTTCGGTTCGCATAGCTTCTGCGGTAACTGGTAGACCATGCAATGCATCAATTACCAGATAGTTGACGTCATGTTCGATCTCGACCGAGACAATGATTGTGTCCTCATGTTCTTGCTGATGGGCATCAATTAGACGTGACAGGGCATCCGCTTGGCCAATGGAAATTGTCGACTGTTAGTGGATCTCGAAATCATGGCCCATTAAGCTAAGAGCCCAAGGTTGTAGCCGGTTGGCCGTGTAGGCCGGGATGCCCTTTTTCGAACCAAAGATAGTCAGCAAGGGCTTGTGATCTGTCAGAAGCTTGAAGCGGCGGCCGTATAGCATTTTGTGAAATTTCTTGACCGCGTACACTATGGTTAGTGCTTCTTTCTCAATCTGGCTGTAATTCCTCACGACCTTCGTAAGTGTTCTGGCAGCATAGGCGATTGCTTTCTGAGATTCATCAGTGTACGAATGCGAAATTACTGCACCAATCCCATGACTTGATACATCAGTGGTTAGAACAATCTCTTTAGAGATCAAAATGAGTCAAAAATAAGTTTGAGGGCAGGAATGCCTTGACCCGTTCGAAGGCACCCTGTCATTCTGATATCCAATTCCAAGTTTGGCCTTCGGCTAGTAGCTTGTTTAACAGGGTCTGCAGGCGGTGCATCTCAGGCAAGAAGACGCTGTAGTGACTGATGTGTCCACAAAAGGAATTCAAGGACTGTAGATCTGTTGGTGGAGACATTTTTCTAATGGCTTCTACGTTTTCCGGATCTAGTCGACGTCCATCGTTTTCGAGGATAAAACCGAGGTATTTGATTATCGGCGTGAAAAATGTGCATTTATCTTCACGGATCCGGAAACCGTACAACTGTATACAACCAAGCACTTCATCCGAGCGGTTAAACAGTTCTTCCGATGTTCGACCCATCATTATGATATCATTCAGATATGCAGCGGTTCCAGAAACGCCCGCCAGCATGGTATCCTTTAACTGTTGGAAAATGGCTGGCGCCGCTTTTATACCAAATAGCAAGCTGTTGTATTGGAATAGCCCACGATGTGTGTTGATCGTCAACAACTCCCTCGAGACTTCGTCAACATTCACTTGAAGGTAGGCATCGGGTAGATCAAGCTTAGCAAATTACTTACCACCATTCAGTTTTGCAAAGATATTTTCCGGTACAGGTAATGGGTACTGGTGGTCGTCCAGCGAGGCGTTGAGGCCAGTTGAGAAGTCGGCGCAGACGCGTACCTTGCCGTTTGCTTTCTTCACTACGACAATAGGTGCGGCCCATGATGAGTAGTTGACGGCTGTAATGACTCCGGCATGTTCCAGTCGATGGATTTCTCGCTCAACGGTTGACATGGCTGCATAGGGTACCGGCCTTTAGCCTTGAATACTGATTTATCACCTGGTTGCAAGCTCAGCGTTGCCTTGAATTTCGTACAACGGCCCAAGCCATCCTGAAAGACAGACGAATTTTCGTTCCAGGGTACGTGTCATGTCTTAAACGGACTTTGATGATGGGTCTGGACTTGCTCAACTCGGTTGCCGATCTGATTCAAGGGAACATCATCATCATCATCATTATGCACCTTAACTGGAGGTGGAAAACACCTCAGCTATTGTGCCGCAATACAAAACACAAGAAAAGAAAAACAAAGAGTGGTACGCCCGCTGAGTCCCCAGTAACGGATGGACATCGTTCCGGAGAGCTAACAGCTGGCTGCCGTAAAAAAGAGTCACATTATGCCTAACAACTGAGATCGTGGTTGGAGAGGGATGCTAAACAGGAGGGGGGTGGACAAAGGGAACATCGAGGAGTTGCAA